ATTTGTGCTCCTCCCACCATGTCTCAAAATGTTTAAATGCCGTTATTTCAATCATGCGCTTATTTACATCTCTTTTTAAAATCTGCTTTAACTCTTCGACAATATAGTTTATAACCTTTTTTATCTTTAGGGGTACCTTATTATTCTGGTCCGAAACATTAATTATATAGTAGTCATAGGGCTCAGCAACCGAATCAAAATGAAATGACCCAACGCCTTTCAAGTAATCGGACTGTATGTAGGCGGCAAATCGGCTAGCAAAAGCAGAGTCCGGCGGTATACCGGAAGGATAATGTCCATAGCCAGAAGAATGGTAATAAAATTGATTTTGATCCGTTGAATATGGATACATGTAAGACGACGGCACAATAGGTCTCTTATATTCCCCATCTTCCAAAGTCAATACACTTTGGATAGGATCCTCATGGAAAGATAAACTTGATAAAGACATATTGTCATCAAGTTTTTCTTTTTCACTTGTAAAACTGTTTTTAGACCTGTCCTTCCTTATTATTATTTCCTAGTCACTTGATATATCACTTGCTCCATTGGGTTGTTGTAAAGCTTTCATATTCCTTACGTGCGACTTCATTTTCTTTTCGGACTTGTTTGAATCGGAATTATTTTCAAAAGACACATCCGCTTTTTTTTCTGTGTCCGAATCGCTACTATCCATTTGAAGAAATGGAATACTGATAAAATGTACATTTTTCCTATGGACAGATCCGACTGGGTTTCTACAGTTAAGAAACTAGACTCCCAGCCCACAGGCCTTTGATATAGCATGTTAATCAGATGTAAATATTGAGCCAACCAAAGAATCTTACACAGACAATGCACATTGGGAAGATCGCAAATCCACACCAAAAATATGGCTGTACATTCCGTTGAATGGTTATAACTTATCTTGTAGTCTACATTATATTTGCATAGACGAATTGGATAGTGATCCTAATTAAGAATATATATACTTTATGGGGTCGGAAACGCTTCCCTCTGCTTGTTACATACTTTCCGACGAATCTAGTATACTCTTTACTCTACGAGTAACGGATATAAATATATCGTGAAAAATACCACGGTAGGGGCACATAAAAGTGAATAAAAATATTACTTGTGCAGTGCAAACTTGTAAAAATGATTTTTTTTGTAAATTTTTGAATTTTTAACTTAGCTGGTTTCCCATTTAGAATAGTATAAAAACAAAATACTAAATAAATTCAAAGGAATTTTGTTTTCCAAAAACGTAATCAAATGTCTAAAAAAAGGTACCTAACCTTTCCTCGAATGCATCCCTGCTATTTCTGAGTGATGCGATTTTATTGAGTTTTCTCTCTAAATGTAATTATTGACAGTATATAACTTGTTTTTAAATGACTTCAATTTTAAGATCGATTATAGTCATTTTAAGATTTAATTGAAATCTCAAACCATTTTAAATACACTTCTAAGCACGACAATTTAATTGAATTTAATTGGTTTTAATAAAAATGTTAAATTTGCTGTGAAAATGTAACTAAGAACTATTTTACTATTGTTTTTATTTACACTAGCACCCGTTTTAGATATAATATACAAACTTAAGTTACGGGATCCAAAATATTTAATTTATAATTGAAAATTCTTTAAATTAATATATCAATTAGCTTTAGTTAAGTGTACCCCGACATCCTTGAGCGCCACATAGGCAAGGTATTTTTTCTTCTTCCAATGGAAACTTATAATCGTACGTAATTTCCTCGTTGATTTCAATTGGTTGCTTTGAATATATAACTATCTTCTTTTCAGACTCAATCGTAATGACCTTTGCATAGCAATTCGGCTGCAATCAGAAAAAAAATACATTAGTAAAACAATTACTATTAGAACCACGAATTCCTACATTGCAACTGTGATCTATAAAACTGCCAATTCCAATTGCTACAACAACGGGTCTAATCATTTGACCAATACGTTGGTCAATAACCATTTCGTCGGCAGCTATAGGCTCCATTGCAAATAATCCCCAGTCATGTATTGCCGATTTTGCAAACTAAAGCTGCTTTTTCCGAAACTTGAGCTGATTAAATTTTAAAAGCTCGGATTCACCCATCGAACCAAAAGCAGTTAAAAGTCGGCATTGGTTTGAGCGTGCTTCACGGAAATTCCTTGCATTTTGGATATTAGTTAATTATGGGGGTGATTGGTGAGTGCTGTAGGTTCATCGCTACGGTCTTCGTTATGGGAATCTTCTGTATTGGCTTAAGCATGATGGTACTTGTTTTTAGCCTGAAGTTAATGTCTTCTGCATCGATGCCTTTAGTTAGGAAAGTGTATAAAATTACCATTTCCTCATTCTGGTCACGAGCTTTATACATCTCACAAGGTACAAAATTGGCTGTTTTCCGTGCCAACTCGGCTATAGCATCTGCAATTGGGGCTATTTTATTCTTCACATTAGGTATCCGCGGAATTGAATCTTTTTTTTTTCTTTGAGAGCGAATAGTATCCTTTCGAGGTCTGCCTGGACCTGACCTAGTCATTTGATCAACAATTATAATGTTAGCCGATTTTCGTTCCAACATAGAGTTACTATCCTTTAATGTTCCAGATGAAATACCGCCAAAGGGAACTGCCTGACTGGCCTGAATAACAATGTTCCAGCGCAATCTGAATGGCCTGCGATGCTTGGCTAAGCCACCGTCTGAAGATGCTGGTGATTGAGATATTTTGTTTTCGTTCTTTGAATTTTCGCACATTTGGTAACAACTATTTAAAACTACTTCACCATCTTTCTTGGCGTCTGACTCGTTGTCCTTATCAGGTTCTATATTTCTATTATAATTTAAACTTCTGAAGCCTAAATTAGTTTGCAAGGTAGATTTATCTTCATTCAATTCAATTTAGTATCTTCATCGGTATCGGAATAAATATTACTTTTTTTTGTGCGTTTCGCTATGTCGTTTTTCCTGTACTCATCAGAGTCTGAAAACATGTTTCTTAGATCAACATTTTCATTATCTCTTAAAACCCCTCGGCATCTTTTCTTAATCTTTTTTTTTCCGTTGATGCCGAGTTTTTTGATTATGTTCGTCTTGAAGATCGTTTTCACTCGTTCCTTCCTTTTCATCACATTCGTTGCCTTCATACTCAGCTTCACTAGATGAGGATGGAGACGAAAAAAAGCTGGAAGCACTTTCTTTTCGTTTTGAATTTACATCAGAGTCATGGTTTGAAATTTCACTCTTTAAATTTGAGAGTGCTGTCGTATCAGAGCTGCCCATATTAGAATCTTCCTTTTCTGAGTCTGAACGTTGTACCATTTCCTCTTGGTCACTTAAATCTCTTTCCAAAAAAATTCCCGTGTCTGGAATTGGACTAGAGTGATTTCTTATACGCCGAAACGATGGTAACTTGAGCATTGCCGCTCTTAAACTTATACTTGAGAACGTTTGAAAATCTGCGATTTCCCGTTGCGTATTAATTATATGACTAATGTCTGCAGGCTTCTCGTTATACGTAGTTTCTTTGAGGAAATTTGAAGTTGTATTGTAGGTTGATTCTGCAATATCGGTTTTGGTCGAGATTTTAATGTGTGCTCGTCACACCATGTCTCAAAATATTTAAATGCCGTTATTTCAATCATGCGCTTACTTACATCTCTTTTTAAAATGCGCTGTAACTCTTCGGCAATATAGTTTATAACCTTTTATACCTTTAAGGGTATCTTATTATTCTGGTCCGAAACATTAATTATATGGTAGTCATAGGGCTCAGCAATCGAATCAAAATGAAATGACCCAACGCCTTTCAAGTAATCGGACTGTATGTAGGCGGCAAATCGGCTAGCAAAAGCAGAGTCCGGCGAGATACCGGAAGGATAATGTCCATAGCCAGAAGAATGGTAATAAAATTGATTTTGATCTGTTGAATTTGGATACATGTAAGACGACGGCACAATAGGTCTCTTATATTCCCCATCTTCCAAAGTCAATACACTTTGGATAGGATCCTCATGGGAAGATAAACTTGATAAAGACGTATTGTCATCAAGTTTTTCTTTTTCACTTGTAAAACTGTTTTTAGACATTTCCTTCCTAATTAATATTTCCTCGTCCCTTGATATATCACTTGCTCCATTGGGTTGTTGTAAAGCTTTCATATTCCTTACGTGACTTGTTTGAATCGGAATTATTTTCAAAAGACACATCCGCTTTTTTATCTGTGTCCGTATCGCTACTATCCATTTGAAGAAATGGAATACTGATAAAATGTACATTTTTCCTATGGACAGGTCCGACTGGGTTTCTACAGTTAAGAAACTAGACTCCCAGCCCACAGGCCTTTGATATAGCACGTTAATCAGATGTAAATATTGAGCCAACCAAAGAATCTTACACAGACAATGCACACTGGGAAGATCGAAAATCCACACCAAAAATATGGCTGTACATTCCGTTGAATGGTTATAACTTATCTTGTAGTCTACATTATATTTGCATAGATCGACTTGGATAGTGATCCTAATCAAGAATATATATACTTTATGGGGTCGGAAACGCTTCCTTCTGCTTGTTACATACTTTCCGACCAACCTAGTATACTCTTTACTCTACGAGTAACGGATAAAAATATATCGACGTATTTGGTAGGGGCACATAAAAGTGAATAAAAATTTTACTTGTGCACTGTAAACTTGTAGAAATGATTTTTTTTTGTTAATTTTTCAATTTTTAACTTAGCTGGTTTCCCATTTAGAATAGTATAAAAACAAAATACTAAATAAATTCAAAGGAATTTTGTTTTCCAAAAACGTAATCAAATGTCTAAAAAAAGGTACCGAACCTTTCCTCGTATGCAATCCCTGCTACTTCTGAGTGATACGATTTTATTGAGTTTTCTCTCTAAATGTAATTATTTACAGTTTATAACTTGTTTTTAAATGACTTCAATTTTAAGATCGATATAATCATTTTAAAATTTAATTTAAAACTTAAAGCATTTTATATACACTTCTAAACTCGACGATTTAATTGAATTTTATTGGTTTAAATAAAAATGTTTAATTTGCTATGAAAATGTAACTAAGAACTATTTTACTATTGTTTTTATTTACACGAGCACCCGTTTTGGATATAATATACAAACTTAAGTTACGGGATCCAAAATATTTAATTTATAATTGAAAATTCTTTAAATTAATTTATAAATAAGCTTTAGTTAAGTGTACCCCGACATCCTTGAGCGCCACATAGGCAAGGTATTTTTTCTTCTTCCAATGGAAACTTATAATCGTACGTAATTTCCTCGTTGATTCCAATTGGTTGCTTTGAATATATAACTATCTTCTTTTCAGACTCAATCGTAATGACCTTTGCATAGCAATTCGGCTGCAATCAGAAAAAAAGTACATTAGTAAAACAATTACTATTATAACCACAAATTCTTACATTGCAACTGTGATTTATAAATCGTGCTAAGTTTCCACATTTAGTTGCATCGATAATAGTTTCCATGTCGATTCGAAACAAATAGGAACTGCCAATTCCAATTGCTTCGTACTTTGTTTCCCTCAGATCTGCAACAACGGGTCTAATCATTTGACCAACGTATTCAATAACCATTTCGTCGGCAGCTATAGGCTCCATTGCAAATAATCCCCAGTCATGTATTGCCGATTTTGCAAACTTAAGCTGCTTTTTCCGAAACTTGAGCTGATTAAATTTTAAAAGCTCGGATTCACCCATCGAACCAAAAGCAGTTAAAAGTCGGCGTTGGTTTGAGCGCGCTTCACGGGAAATTCCTTGCATTTTGGATATTAGTTTATTATGGTGGTGATTGGTGAGTGCTGTAGGTTCATCGCTACGGTCTTCGTTATGGGAATCTTCTGTATTGGCTTTAGCATGATGGTACTTGTGTTTAGCCTTTTCTCGTAAATCTAATTTGTAAAAACCTTCAGTTCGAGCACATCCAGTTTTATGGCGCAATAGTTCGTCATCTTTCCTACGTTTTTTTTGTGGTGGAGGCCAAAAAGCTCGGTCGGTTGTACAGTGATCCACCCAATGGGTGTTGTTTAAAAACATACTAGAAAAAATGTAGCATATAATAAAATCTCAGCGTTCACTAAAAATCACTTACGCGTATGGCTCCTTTTGCAAATGGTCCGAGTAGCTCATTTTTATGAAGTTAATGTCTTCTGCATCGATGCCTTTAGTTAGGAAAGTGTATAAAATTACCATTTCCTCATTCTGGTCACGAGCTTTATACATCTCACAAGGTACAAAATTGGCTGTTTTTCGTGCCAACTCGGCTATAGCATCTGCAATTGGGGCTATTTTATTCTTCACATTAGGTATCCGCGGAATTGAATCTTTTTTTTTTCTTTGAGAGCGAATAGTATCCTTTCGAGGTCTGCCTGGACCTGACCTAGTCATTTGATCAACAATTATAATGTTAGCCGATTTTCGTTCCAACATAGAGTTACTATCCTTTAATGTTCCAGATGGAATACCGCCAAAGGGAACTGTCTGAGCGTGGGGCGGTAACGAATAGCAATGTTCCAGCGCAACCTGGCTGGCCTGCGATGCTTGGCTGGAGCCACCGTCCGAAGATGCTGGTGATTGAGATATTTTGGTTTCGTTCTTTGAATTTTTGCACATTTGGTAACAACCATTTAAAACTACTTCACCATCTTTCTTGGCGTCTGATTCGTTGTTCTTATCAGGTTCTATATTTATATTATAATTTAAACTTCTGAAGCCTAAATTAGCTTGCAAGGTAGATTTATCTTCATTCATATAAATTGGGGACTTTCTGCTGTTTGATATAGGATTAGACAATGGCAAGTTTTCATCCAAAACAATTTCAAACTTTTTCTCTTGTTCCTCTAAAAATTCTCTTTCAATTTGGGCCATGTATTCAGTATTCCTTCTTCTTTTTTCCTGGTACTCTCGCTCTTCTTCAGAATCGCTGTAAATTCTATTATAGTCAAAAACTGACTTTCGTTCACAATCATCTATCTTTTGAATGGCCTCTTCATTGTAGCCCGGTGGCGGTACAGGTGTAAGAGAGCGACGAAACTCTTCATTTATTTTTGGCGTACTTTGTTGCTCTGATTCAAACGCGGGATCTATCTCGATTTCGCGCAATTCGCAGCAACTATCTTTACTTATATCTTCGAGATCAGAAGGAATAGATGACATTTTGTTTTCTTGTAACGCAGGCAACAAATTTTTCAATTTAGTATCTTCATTATCTTCATCGGTATCGGAATAAATATTACTTTTTTTTGTGCGTTTCGTTATGTCGTTTTTCCTGTACTCATCAGAGTCTGAAAATATGTTTCTTAGGTCAACACTTTCATTATCTCTTAAAACCCCTCGGCTTCTTTTCTTAATCTTTTTTTTCCGTTGATGCCGATTTTTTTGATTATGTTCGTCTTGAAGATCGTTTTCACTCGTTCCTTCCTTTTCATCACATTCGTTGCCTTCATACTCAGCTTCACTAGATGAGGATGGAGACGAAAAAAAGCTGGAAGCACTTCCTTTTCGTTTTGAATTTACATCAGAGTCATGGTTTGAAATTTCACTCTTTAAATTTGAGAGTGCTGTCGTATCAGAGCTGCCCATATTAGAATCTTCCTTTTCTGAGTCTGAACGTTGTACCATTTCCTCTTGGTCACTTAAATCTCTTTCCAAAAAAATTCCCGTGTCTGGAATTGGACTAGAGTGTTTTCTTATACGCCGAAACGATGGTAACTTGGGCATTGCCGCTCTTAAACTTATACTTGAGAACGTTTGAAAATCTGCGATTTCCCGTTGCGTATTAATTATATGACTAATGTCTGGAGGCTTCTCGTTATACGTAGTTTCTTTGAGGAAATTTGAAGTTGTATTGTAGGTTGATTCTGCAATATCGGCTAGTGGTTTTGGTCGAGATTTTAATGTGTGCTCGTCCCACCATGTCTCAAAATGTTTAAATGCCGTTATTTCAATCATGCGCTTATTTACATCTCTTTTTAAAATCTGCTTTAACTCTTCGACAATATAGTTTATAACCTTTTTTACCTTTAGGGGTATTTCATTATTCTGGTCCGAAACATTAATCATATGGTAGTCATAGGGCTCAGCAATCGAATCAAAATGAAATGACCCAACGCCTTTTAAGTAATCGGACTGTATGTAGGCGGCAAATCGGCTAGCAAAAGCAGAGCCCGGCGGTATACCGGAAGGATAATGTCCATAGCCAGAAGAATGGTAATAAAATTGATTTTGATCTGTTGAATTTGGATACATGTAAGACGACGACACAATAGGTCTCTTATATTCCCCATCTTCCAAAGTCAATACACTTTGGATAGGTTCCTCATGGGAAGATAAACTTGATAAAGACATATTGTCATCAAGTTTTTCTTTTTCACTTGTAAAACTGTTTTTAGACCTGTCCTTCCTAATTAATATTTCCTCGTCACTTGATATATCACTTGCTCCATTGGGTTGTTGTAAAGCTTTCATATTCCTTACGTGCGACTTCATTTTCTTTTCGGACTTGTTTGAATCGGAATTATTTTCAAAAGACACATCCGCTTTTTTATCTGTGTCCGAATCGCTACTATCCATTTGAAGAAAAGGTGGTGCATTGCCAAACGTCTTTCCTTTAAATATTAAGGCTATGCGAGTATCTAAATCTACGTTCCCTGGTTCGGAATTCAATTCTGTCGCCGTCTTTATTGAAGCCATATAATTCATATTTGTTCCCTTTGACGATTGTTGTTTTGCGTTGGCGGATTGCTTAATGAATTTTTGTTCAAGTTTAAGTTCATCTTCATCCCAATTTTCTTCCTCTTCTGGAGGTGGTGGAGGAGGCGGTACCGGCTGGAAGTTAGGCTGAGGCGCTGTCCATCTTCTACGGTCTGGCCATGTCTGAACATTTTCGATCGAAGAGTAAGAAGAATTGTTGAATCCGTAACATTCGTCAGGCAAACTGGAGCCAGAAAGTCCAGAATAGTAATGTTTTTTTGTGTTTGTTGAGCTTTTGACATCAGTTTCAGTATATTCATGTAGGGAGCAGCGCTTATAATACTTAAGACTATCACGATCCCTTCGATCGATTTCTTTTTCGCGATACTCTCGATCTTTTGATGAGTTATAACGATGTCCTCTTTTTTCTCTGGATTGGTCCCGGCATTTGTCGCGAGATCTTTTAGATTCGCGAAATGAATCTTTCTCCCTGGAACGACAGTACTCGCGCGGACGTGGGTCTGGGCCTCTAACTCTTTCTTTTGTTATGAACAATCTATTACGCTGAATTTCTGGGCTTAGATCTCTGGACCGCCGACGGTAGAAGTTGCGATCATGCCTTACGGAGGTTGGATACTTTTCCCGCATTCCACGATCATAACTTTGCTCTACTGAATGTCGACTTCTGTCCTTCAAGTGGTGATCTCTTTCCCTTTCCTTATCGCGATCCCAGTTTCGATCCCTAGCACGCTCTTCACTTTCAGTATTGATTTGAAAAGAGCTGTATGCACATTTTACAGGATCGCCAGCATCGTTTTCCATTCGACCGAATTCGTCATCTTGGGGAGCAACGTGCTGGAAAGTCGATTGGTGCGTCATTTTAATACCTGCCAATGGTTTTGCCACAACAGGATTTGTAAGATTATCAAGTGTTTTCTTTAAAATAGTACCAAAAGGGTCGCAGAACACATTTAGGACCTAAAATACATGCATTATCAATTGATCAAATCTCTAATAATATTTTACATACCTTTCCCATTACGGATTTTTGATTGTATTTTTCCACAAACTGCCTTGCTCCCTTTGTATTTTCAAACACGATTCGTGCAATGCCCATATGTTTGTTTGTAGTTGGATGATGGTAAATATTTATTTCATCGGAGGTCCCACACTTGTCCAACATGTTAGAAAGAAACTGCTTGTCGATGTTATCATTTAAGTTAACCAGAGTAACTTCGATTGCAGGTGGCTGGCCTACATAGTCGGAATCTATGACAAATCTACGGAAAAGGTGTAAGGATGTACATTTTTTTAAAGACATCAATCTTACCTAGGAATACGAAGTAGAAGTGGATCAACAGCCCTGGCACGTATGCGAGTCAGAGGATTTCGCGGATCCCTGGGTGTTATCGTTGAATAGGCAGGGTCTCCGGGCACAACGCCATCGTAGCGATATAGTCTGGCGCCACATTTTACCAACTGCGGATCAGCTAATAGTTTAAAGTTGCGGGGCATTTTTGTGTTGGACAGAAACGTAACATGGTTGCTGCCGGAATTGCTGATAAAGGTATTCTCACGAATGTCCTGCATCTGTATGATAGGATGTGTTTAAGTCAATAATTTAGCTTAATCCCTCTACCTCCAAATACAACTTCTAGATACACGTATTAATAATTCTGCTTGTATCTGAAGAAGCCGATCTCAACGTTCATGGAAGCTACAAATAAATAAAACACTTATAACAAACATATTGATTTGCTATAAAATGAAACGTTATGTACATATGTACCTAATTCCACACAGTAAAAATATTATTTCATCTTTTTGATAGCCTCAAGCAAGATCCACAATAATTTTTTAGGAGGTTTTTTTGTCTCTTAATTAAGAAAACTATTCAGAAGCAATCTGAATGAATGTTGTTGGACCGAAACCATCCAATAAAAGGGCTGCACGAAGTAGCACGTATCATCTTCACATTTCATTGTGTTGGTCGCACAATACATACAGCCCTCAAATCCATTATATATTAAAACTCGAAGCATACTACACAGAACATAAAACGAGGCTTCTTACTTGGAGGGCTGATACTAATGTGATCGATGTGCGCATTGATTTCCTCACTATTGCTAAACACTTTCTTGAGATTTCTGAAACACTTTCAGCAGCCTTATTCCACTACAACACTTTTCAATGGGTTATGCTCTTTTCACGCAGCTGCAAAGAAATGCGAGCGTTCGCACAAGCCATCGTTGTGTCGATAATAAAACTCAAACAGAAGTAGAGCAGTAGTTGAATGGCAAGAAATATTTGGTAAAAAAGGATAGGAACAACTTACATAATTCAAGCAATTAGCTTTTACGTCAAGCAACAGTTGAGTCTCTTTTTAGCACACAAACGACGCTTATAAGTCTTCAAAGCAGATCATATTGCAGTTTTTCATAGGTGTAACAGTGTAGTTATTATATAATATATCTAAGTAATATTCAATAAGGGTTTCTTTTGTCTTAAAACTGATTGTTTTTATTAAACTTTGCAATTTTTAATATAACTAAAAAATTATATCGAACAGCTACAAGAAAATTATAATAATCAATAATAATCAATAAATGCTGATTTGCGAAATTGTTGAACTCTGGTCGCAGTTCATTCTATAGCCTAGTACTCAGATCGACTAAGAGTTTCACTAGTCGAAAAAATGTATTATTTGTAGTGTGACCGAAGATTTTAAAGTTCAGCCGCAATACATGTAGCATGGTCTAACTGTCAAGCAGCTGAGTTTGTTTCCAAACGGAAAGCAAATCAATTGGAGAAATTTAAAAAGGAGGAGTCTACTGGTACACAAGAAAATTTAAATACAAATAAATGGAATGTTCAACGAATGTTTTCATTTATGTAAATTAATAGTTTAAAGCTTCCTTCTCGTCCCACGGATGCTTCGCCATCTTTCCCGCTCCACCGCAGTACAGCTCCGAGTCCCAATGGGCATATGGGACCTTGAGGAAGTGGGAGCCGGATTAGGAACGGGGTTGTTCCGCCTGATGCCGCATGAAGTCGCCCAGCATCCTGGTAATGGCTCCTCCAGCTGTCCCTTCGCGGGCTATCTTATTTCCTTCTCCCTACAAAAGCCGGCGTGTTCTCCATCTCCGCAATAGCTGTCAAGTAGCTGGTGGAGGTTGAGTCCTGTGGAAATCCCACTTGGCATGTTCCTTCCCACTGGAATTCTCTAGTGGATCTCCTCCAACACTTGAACTACTCTGCGGATGTGCCGTGTCGTGGCATTGCTTCCTGTCGGTGAAATCCCTCAATAATAAGCAACAGCTTGGATTAGGCGTCAGTTTTCATCTGCACTGACCTCCTCTAGGCGTTTTCGGGATTTCCCTTCCGATTTTAATTTTTAAATTCCACACCGCTTCTGCACGAACACCGCCAAAGATTAAATTTCTTAATCTTTGGGTCGCGGCTAAAGGCGTTCATCGAAATTCACTCGCGAAGTCTGCTATTTTTTTTGGTATTTCCTTAGCTCATATGACCGGACGAAAAGCGTTAGCAGCGTATTTGGATCTTTTCTTTTAATTTAAAAATTTTACAGTTTTAGCCTAGTACTCAGATCGGCTAAGAGTTTCACTAGTCTAAAAATCTTATTCTTTGTAGTGCGACCGAAGTTTTCAAAGTTCACCCGCAATGCATGTGACATGGTCTTACTGCCAAGCGGCTTGTTGTTGCCAAATGGAAAACAAATCAATTTAAAAAAGATAAGTCTGCTGGTGCAGAAAGAAATTAATGTAAAAATAAATTAAATGTTTAACGAATGTTTTTATTTATGTAAATTAGAAGTTTAAGGCTTCTTTCTCGTCCCACGGATGCTTCGCCATTTTTCCTGCGCCATCTGTAGTCCAGCTCCGGCTGGTGATGGCTCCTCCAGTTGTCCCTTAGTGGGCGACCTTATTTTCTCCTCCCTATAGAGGCCGGTACGCCCTCCATCTCTGCCTTAGCTGTCGAGTAGCTGTGGAGGTGGAGTCCTTAATGGAGAGCTCGTCGGAGATCGGGCGATGTCCCATGTTCCTTCCCACTGGCATTCTCTAGTGGATCTTCTCCAGCGCTTTAACTGTATTGCGGATTTGCCTCGTTGTGGTGTTGCTTCCTGTCGGTCAAGTCCCACAATAATAGGCAACAGCTTGAATTAGGCGTCCTTTTTCATCTGCACTGACCTCCTTTAGCCGCTTTTGGTGTTTCTCTTCACTTTTTTAATTTTTAAATTCCCCACTGCTTCTGCACGAACACCGCAAGAGATTAAATTTCTTATTCTTTGGGCCGCAGCTAACGGCGTTCATCGAAAATTCACTCGCGAAATCAGGTATATTTTTCGTATTTCCTTGGCTCATCTGAGTACCGCGCTGAAAAACAGAGCCAACGAAATTCAAATAGAAACGGAATTTGGGCAGAATTGCAGTTTGTGGTTTCTGCTTTTTTACATTTTTATGTCAAGCCATTGGGTTAATTTTTATTCTAGCATCAAAACTCTGGGAGCCACATTCTTGAGCGGCTTGTAGGCGTTAAAGTGGGCGTGGCACCCAGCTGAAACAAACTTGCGCTGCGAAAGAAGCTCAGGAATCTGCACGCCAAATCTCAATAGCCTAGCTCTTATAGTTTCCGAGATGTCAGCGTTCATCCGGACGGACGGACAGACGGACATGGCTAGATCGACTCGGCTAGTGATCCTGATCAAGAATATATATACTTTATGGGGTCGGAAGCGCTTCCTTCTGCCTGTTACATACTTTCCGACGAATCTAGTATACCGTTTTACTCTACGAGTAACGGGTATAATAACGAATAATTTTAAAGATAAATAACTTTGGTCGCATCTTTAAAAAAATTGTTTTCGTTTTGCTTTATTTTTTGACGTCATGGGTCTAAAATACTGTAGAAATGCTTGTTAGAGCTTTTGTTAGGAATCCCCAAATGTAGGCAGCAAGAACAACCCATCAGAACAAGCAAGCGAAACAGTGCTGCCCATCAAGTATGTTGGTATCGGCAAGGGCAGAGACTAAGACCAAATTGCCATTCTTGGTTTTGACTTTTGAGAATAGGAAAAAAAGAAAAATCAGCTGATTATTATTTATTTTTCCTTTCCGTAATGGAATCACGTGGAGGCTCGTGCAGACCAACGGAATTATAAAAACGAAAAGAAGTTATATTTTTTTTGCTTTCTTGCTGCCAAGTTAGGTAAATATACCAAGCTATATATATAGCCAAACTAAGGGAGTGCTTATGCATTTTTTTTCTCTTTCCCTCGATGTGTGTCCAGCTTGGCACGTAGCCGCAAAATCACCAAGCAGCTTCCAATCCAAAACAACCAAAAGGAAAAACAACCAGCCATAAGCCAATTCGCCCAAACCGAAAGCCACAAGTCAATTTTTCGGAGATAGACAAGTTGGAAACTTTTCCCGATCCAGAGAATTCGCTCAGCTTCCCAGAGCGACCGGCTTCCCGCCTCTCTCCCGGATTTCAGCCGGGAAGGCCCAAAGCCCTTCGCGCCGACTACGCTGTTTAAGCGTAATAGAATTCGCTGAGCTTCCGAGAGCGACCTGCTTCCCGCCTGTCTCTTGGATTTCAGCCGGGAAAAGCCTAAAGCCCTTTGCGCCGACCACGCTGGTTTAGCGTAATAGTAGTTCGCGTCGTGCTCAGTCCGCAAGGTGGAATCAAAATACCGCAGCCCCGAAGATTGCACAGTTTTTTTTTAAATCCCCAAAATGTGGAAAAATAGCCCAACAGCGACCTATAAGTAGTATAATAAATTAAGAGCTTATTTTTTTGTTAATTTTTTTTGCGTTAAGAAATGAAATACGAAGTTGCGAAACAAAGGTAAAATGTGAGAGGAGTGAAATATTGCGGCATAACAGAACGGAAAAACTAAAACACGTGTAAAGTGAAAGAAAAGGAAACAAAGAGAAAGAAAAGAATACCTACGAAAGGAAAAATAAAATATGTGCGAGTGTAAAAAAATAAGTCGATAAAGCCCAACCTAGTCAAATTAAAAGAAAATATCACCCCACCTGGAAAAAAAATATATATATCATGTACATATAAATATATATATATATTATATAAAATTGCCAAAGCAGAAGGAAAGAACATGACGTAAGGAGTATCAAGAAAGAAGGCTCTCTCTTTTTCTAGCGACCGCTGCAAAAGATCTTTTTCCGTCGTATCGTTAGTAAGTTTTTAACTGTACCTTTATTTCCCTTTTTTCTTTTGTGCTCTATGCCATGCGTAACTGACCTACGCCAGGCGCTTTCCAATGCCAAACCTGGAAAAAACACATAAATAGTTAGCTCCCGTTGCCTTTATTTTCAAATAGAAAAAAATAAAAAAAAGACGACAAGCACACAAAAGTTAGAAAAAAACCCAACTAAAAAAAGAATTTAAATTAAATTATTTTTACAACCACATCGAACCCTCTATAAATAAACTTATTCCCTTCTCTTCTCTTTTATTAGTATTATTTGATACATATATCTTAATTTCTACACCGAACAAAAAAAAACAACTGCTTATTTCATATAATCCAATTTTATTTCAGCAGTATTTCATTCCTCACAAGCCTATGCAAATAATTTTAAGTAAATAAACCCGAATTAAATATTTTAGTAATTCTCGGAATGTAACCAAATGAAAATCAAATATGAGCCAAAAGTGAAATTAATAGCAAAGAAATTTTCATTTATGAACAAGAAAGTAGTTATTTATGATTAATAAAACAAATTCATAATGAACTCTAACTAAAAGTCTCCTCATCCGGGGATTATGGAGGTCGGAGTGTCAGGGTAAGAATGTGTAGCCACTTCCTAGGATCCTGAGGACGCATAAAAGGACATAAAGGATCATGGTAGGGTCGGGCTTCGCAATTATCTTGTGAGGAAAGGGGAGTGGCGTAGGCAGGTGTATCTCTTGTGTATTGTTGGTGTTGTTCTTTCGACATTTTTCTTTTACTTTCTTATTTTTACTTCCCAAACTAAGTACGCGAAATTTAATTAATCTTTGATAGCATTCGAGCAATGGTAACGTGCGGTAGCCCTTTCTTTAAAAACCCAAGCCGACCAGACTAAAAATGGAAGCCGAGGACATCGCGTAAACGTTATATGCTACAATACAGTCCACTAGCAAGGACTACCTAGGTCTAGCCTAGCCAGCGCACATTTCGAAAAAAGATCGTTAAATAATACTTAACTTTGACTTGATTTTATATTTGCTACTTAAACTAAATTTAAGACATTTCTCATTTCCACACCACCATAGAGATACAGGTTTTGGCACGTTTTTTTCCTTGGACCTATTGACAATAGGGGATCGTATTGCGCGGCCCGCGACGATCCATTGGCACATGAATGTGTGAAGGGGAGGAAATATGGCCAAAACACAGCCCGATCGTCTTGCGATCAAGCGACTGCTAAGCTTGTTGGGCAGTGTGGACTGATGACTGACGAACTTGATGACTAATATTATTTTCCAGGCACTTTTAATATTTATTCTCGTTATGTTGGAGAGGAGAGAGGCTTACCAAGATCCCACGACCCAAATACGACGTAGCTTATGCCGGCAAATGGTGTCTGAACATCGGACGCCTCTCCCTTGGCCCATTTCAGGGACCAAGACCAAAATATGTCAGATTAGACAGGTGGAACCTAAAGTTCAATGGAAGCGGTCGCGGCATGACAGTTGAAAGTTTCCTGTTCCGCGTGGACCGATTGCAAGAATTATATGACCTGAGCCGCCAACAAGTATTTCGTGAATTCCATCTTCTGCTGGCAGGTGCAGCCACGAAATGGTATTGGCAGCTAATGGAAGACAAGGCAGAAGACTACGATTTCGACTACTATTCGTTGACACAGGAGATGGAACGAGCGTTTTCCACTACCGGAAGTGACCTTATGAAAGTCAAGGAACTAATGGAACGCAAGCAAGGACAGCACGAAACCTTCAGCGATTATGTCTCCGATATGCACGATCCCCTTTTTTCCCCAAGGACCTATTCCACAATGAAAATATTTTATTGAACTCTTATCTTTTAAGCCTAGTACTCAGATCGGCTGAGAGTTTCACTAGTCGAAAAATCGTATTCTTTGTAATGTGACCGATGTATTTAAAGTTCACCCGCAATGCATGTACCATGTTCTTACTGTCAAGCAGCTGTGTTTATTGACAAAAGGAAAAGAAATCAACTGGAGCAATTTAAAAAAGAATAGTCTGCTGGTGCACAAAGAAATAAAAATAAAAGTAAATGGAATGTTCAACGAAAGTTTTTATTTATGTAAATTAGTAGTTTAAAGCTTCCTTCTCATCCCACGAATGCTTCGCCATCTTTCCCGCTCCACCGCAGTCCAGCTCCGAGTCCCAATGGGCATATGGGACCTTGAGGAAGTGGGAGCCGGATTAGGAACGGGGTTGTTCCGCCTGGTGCCGCATGAAGTCGCCCAGGATCCTGGTAATGGCTGATGATGGCTCCTCCAGCCGTCCCTTCTGTCCCATCTCCGCAATAGCTGCCAAGTAGCTGGTGGAGGTGGAGTCTGGTGGTTCCTCAACGGAGAGCTCGTCGGAGATCGAGCGAATTCCCACTTGGCATGTTCCTTCCCACTGGAATTCTCTAGTGGATCTCCTCCAACACTTCAACTATTCTGCGGATGTGCCCTGTCGGGGCATTGCTTCATGTCGGTGAAATCCCACAATAATAAGCAACAGCTTGGATTAGGCGTCCTTTTTCATCTGCACTGACCTACTCTAGGCGTTTTTGGGGTTTCCCTTCCGTTTTTAATTTTTAAATTCCACACCGCTTCTGCACGAACACCGCCAAAGATTAAATTTCTTATTCTTTGGGTCGCGGCTAAAGGCGTTCATCGAAATTCACGCGCGAAGTCTCCTATTTTTTCTGGTATTTCCTTGGCTCATCATGAGTAACGCGCTGAAAAACAGACCCGACGAAAAGCTTTAGACGCCTGTTTGCCTCTCGTTCACTCCTATGGTTAGCTCGCGGTTTTCGTCGATCTGAGTACTAGGCTTATTTGCTGAAATTTAATTTTTATCAACAACAAACTATTTTTATATTAGGATATTAGGCCTTGCTCACACTTAAAGTACATTTTGATTATTGACAAATTTTTTATTTCATGTTCAAAATAGTTCATCTGGAAAAAAATCATTTCGATGGGCATACCACCTTTGCTTTAAAGGCCACCGCTCATATATGCTTTATAGAACAAAATACAGCGTTGTCTTATTTTTGTGTCTCAAATTTTAGCTAAACGCCATGGTACCGTACCAGTCAATTGACTCTAACTATAATTTCATTACATATTTTCTTGGGTCGCCACAATAGATAATTTGGTAGTATCTTAAAGCCTTGTTACACTATGTCGGGTAACCTCTCGAGTGAGCCAAAATCCCATACACTCCAAAAAGTTTTTATACTGGGCTATAGCGTCTGCACACAGCTACTTGAAATTGCAACAGGAAGAAATATTTTTCAGAAATTGCTAAAGTGAACAGCTGATCGGCATAAGCAAACCGTATCCGAAGGAAAATTACGTGCAAATTCAGTTGCTCCTAAAAAAAATTCAAAGCAACGCAAAACGCAAAATGATTATTTTATTGCTATTAGCAGATTGATAATATATAAGATATCCACTCAGGCAAGCGTGGTGAAAACTGATATGGACCAACAGTGACGCCACGAGAATTTGAACAAGTTAGAAACGTTTAGTCCTTAACACATTTCTAACACCTTCATCGTATACGGTTCCTTGACCATATCCATTTTTTAATCAACACCTTGCGAGGTGGGTGCGCCTTTTATTGGCTTCTTCCATAGATAAATAATGTAATTTTTGGTGCTACAGGTGCCGTTGGTCATTTGCTTTAAAACTACAGCAATACTTATTTTCAAGATGAGGTCAATTGCTAGGTTCCGAGTCCTTGGTAGGCTTCTGGGGCCTGCACCAACAGCAAATACTTTATAATGGCGCCATTGCAGCTCAAATGCGTTTCCTTCTCAAAAATCCCGAAGAGAAGAAACAACCTAAGCTCGTAAAAAATACTAAATAAGAATAGTGAATCGATTTGCTTGTGCGGTCCCATTTTCCGCTGAAGCGAGCTGTAGCGACTTTTTCCCGTCTCTTTCCTATTTCATATACAGTAGAAGTCGCTGAAGCGGTTTTTGACCGTTGAATCGAAAAGCGCCTATGTCTGAATAAGGTGTTATGGAAGAAAAATTGTTGAAGCAGAATTTTGTTGCTGAAACGGAAACCCCCTCTGCGTGAATATGGTATTATAGGGTATTTGGCAAAGGAAGTTTCTGCTTCATTCTATGCACACAAATCATTGCTTCAATTTGAAGCGGATTTTTTTTCAAATAGAGATTCAATAAAGTGAACAGCTAGTTGGCTTGGAGAGGATGTGCAGCGAAAAAAGCACACGTTGAGCGCTTAGCAGCAAATAAAATTTTAGTTGTAATTTTTATTTGTTTATTTTAAAATTTGAGCTCGGTGGTTTCCGGTGTTACCGGGGTCGCTGGCACCTCCTCCTCAGCATCTGGTGCCGGCGTTGCCTTTTTTTTGGTACAGCTTAAGTTTTTAATGCACCGCATTGCCTTCTGCAGCGCCTTTTCGGGAGGTTCCGAGGGCATCTAGTATTAGAAAAAAATTAATTTTAAAAATAAAACGAGACGAGAATAAAAACGATTGACCGAAAGTAATCGTTATTTGTAAGATTTATTAATAATAAAATAAATGTTATCTTTGGCATTCAATGTTAAAATCCCAGAAGACTTTTAAGGATTAAACTTACAAGCAATAGTTACTTTCAGCCTCAATAAAAACTTACTTAATAAGACGCGGCCGAAATTTGGGTAGACTGAGCTTCTTCTTGTTTTGCCCCCCCTCCAAGTTGTGGGAGAGAACAAGTTCCTCGGATAACATTTTTTTATAGATTTACCATCAGCCTTGTCTAAAAATATAAGAAAATTAAAAAAATATCGAGAAGATATTTGCAAACTTTTGTTTTCGGTAACTTGATTTATTTTATTTTGTTGTAACAAAATATTTATGTATTATTTTATTATTAATAATAATAATAAATGATTTAATTTATTTTGCAGATGCGGGGAAAAATACCACTTTTTCAGAAACGGAAAATTAGAGAAGTTTGAGATTTTTATTTAAATAGCCATGTTTGTTTACTTACACAAAAATAAAAATTGTGCTTTAATGGTATTAATACAAAAAAACATAAGTTATAAAAACAAACATCTCTTATTTTTGGTCACTAGGAACTTTGCACTCAATAAGATTTTCAAATTTTTTCACAGATTCATTCAGTTGTTTATTTATATGCATCATTTGTTGTTTTTCACGTCAAAAATTAATATTTTTCACAGCTATTTTTTTTGCCGCCACGTGCTTTTTTGGAAAGCTTGTATTTTCCATTTTTTAATATACATTAACTTGTTTTTACTCTCACTGTTTAAATAAATATTGGTCTGCGACAGACTTACCTGGGAATCGTATAGGTATCACTATTAAACCACTCGTTTATTTTATTTAACTACGTTAATTGCGGGCAATTCTAACTCCTTCACATACGTAAACGCAAGTGAAAAAGGCAAAAAAAGTCGCGTGCCTTCCAGAAAAACAAAAAGCAACAACAACAACGGTTCCGCTAATCCGTTGTTGCTCTGTTTTTTTTTTCTCATCAATACCTATCGATTGAACTAAAAAATTTAAACAAATACATATTAATGTTTAAACAAAAAGATTTACGGCTGTCCCTCACACCTTTCCGCTACATTACTATTAATAAAATAATATAATTTTTAGCTAGAATTACAAATTACAAAAATATCGTTTACGGGATAGTTTGGTTAAATTGTAAAATTTTGAAATGAAGAGATAAGATGCATTCCAATATTTAATCAAATACATATTAGTATTTAAACAAAAAGATTTACGGCTGTCCCTTACACTAATCCGCTACATTATTATTAATAAAATAATATAATTATTAGCTAGAATCAGTGGGAGATCCAAAAATATCGATTATAGAAAAGTTTTCAGAAATGGTAAAATTGTGAAATTTAAAGGTAAGAGTTCAATAAAATTTTTGCATTGCTGAATAGGTCCTTGGGGAATCCATAAAAAACGTGCCAAGACCTGTATCTCTATGGTAATGTGGAAATGAGGAATGTCTAAAATTTGGTTTAAGTAGCAGGGATAAAAACAAGTCAAAGTATAGGATTATAGAAAGATCTATTTACGACATTTCAGCTGACGAGGCTATGGTCGACCTCTCTACTGTATTTAGACTATCTATGGCGTGGGGACAAACACATTACAAAGGTAAATATTTTGGATTCAAATTGTCAAGAAATAAAGCAAAACGAAAACCATTTTTTTTAAGATGCGACAAAAGTGATTTATCTTTCAAATTTTTCATTATTTTTATTATAAACGTATATACGTTTTTATTGCAAAACACTTCATTTTAGAGCGCCCTTTTTAAAGAGGTTCTTTTCTTTTAAAGGCTTAGGTTACATCATCCTTAAAATTTAAGTGACGGACTATTTTTCTACTATTGATGCCTTAAATTTTATGGCCTTAAATAAAACATTTAAGAACATTTCAACTATTTTTAAGTCAATTTTAAATTTTTAAAAATTTTCAATTTAACTCAATTTTAGTCCATGTTTCCTTAAATCTAGAAATTCTTTTATTCTGTGTGTATGAACAGAATAAGACTAAAAAGATTGCACCCATCAGACAATCGGATACTTGGACGGCCCGCAAGTGGGCTACTAATTTTAGACTTAGACTCAAAAGACTCCACACTGCCCAATTTTTGTGGTGTGTTTTTCTTCATTTTTTTTATTGCACTACATGTTAAATTTACCATGGGTGAAAGTGAATTGAGTTTCACGAAACACAAAAAATAAAACTTATTGTTTGCTTATCAAAAAATGATTTTTCTTTTTTGGCGAATGTGAATTAACTGCAGGTCAGGAAAAAGAAAAAATTCAAAAAGCGAGAAGCTCCCTCCCGCGCAACTACCGTTTTTGTTTCCCTATTTTTTCACGCGAGATCCCACGGCCATGCAAAACATACCAATGATTTAAAATTAGGGCAATGCCATTTCTTGTTAATCTGCATGGAACAGAAGAGCTGTTGGCGTTTAGGTGGCTAACCTAGTCGGGGCTATCAATTTCACCTCGAAAAAGGTTATAAATGAAGACTGTTCCAAGCATCGTTCTGCGGTTGGCTAGGGATGGTAATGTACTAGAAAAAGAGGGTAAAATGAAGTTTGCATCCCAGTCCCAGCTTCTGTACAGATTCGATACGATCTACATAAATTCCGTATTGGGAACTCCAGAACACAATAATACAACTTGATCTAAGAGAATAGAACTTTACAACGACTTAAATAATAGAGCGGGAGATCGAGCGAGCGGTGCACTAGGAGAGCGGTGCAGTGGGATAGCGGTGCCATGGTACAGATTCGCTGTACAATAGGTCCCTCGTCGACCATGTGGAAGCCCTGCTGAATGACCTGGGGTAGACATCGGCACCAAGGATCAAAGAGACTGTTGCTGGGCGATAGAATCGCTCATACGCGTGCGGTAGATCCCGAAACTTCTCGACTACGCTCTCACTGAGCGCTCGGATGGGAGTACGGAGATGCACGTTCGGCTCGATTTTGACGACCACCTCCGGACTGATCGCCTCTTTGACCTTGGACCGAATTGTTGCCATGCAGATCCCTTAATCTCCGACGAAGCGAAAAGCGGAAGCCAAGATTGCGTCGAGGTGCATGGGTCGATTAGTGCGGGGGTGTCGAATGTCTCCTCCCCGGTCTCGACGATCACCAAGAACTTATCAATAGGCGCAGTATTTCATGAGAATCAGGGTTTTTCCACGAAATATTAGTAAAACTTAGTTAGCCAACAGCAACCTACTGGTAACAGAAATCTTAACAAAGTATGGGCTTGTTTAAATGGCAAAGTGAAATTTAGACCTAAGAGCACAGCAAATCTGATTTAGCATTGAACTCCAGTTCTTTTGATTGGGATATTTGTATGATTTTATGGCCGTGAATACAGAAGCGTTAGTTTGACGTAAGAGAGCTGAAAGACTTGGATTTAAATTTAACGCCATTATCTGAGACTATTGTCTTTGGATCACCAAAATAAAGAAATACGTCCTCTACAAAATGGTTTAAGAAAAGGAAACATGGACGGATGATCTAGGACCACAAAAGCGGATATGGACCTAAAAAGTCGACATATAGTGAGAGGTGTGGAATAACTCCCAACAAATTTAATCAGCCGTAACAACTGGTGGCTGGCCGCTTACCAGATACGCGGCGACTTTGCGTAGTAACGGCGAGGCGAAGAGCGGTTGGAGAAAGAACTCAGAAAGAGAATTTGGAAAACGTGATCGTCCCAGCAGTAAAAGCAACTTAAAACAGTATGGGTAAGAAGTGGATTTACCGCCTCAAGACAGAGGACTGTGCCTATGTCGCACAGAGGCTAAACATCGCTCTGGAGGATAGGATAAGAGGAGGTCTTTGTCAGATTATTATTATGAGACGGAGAACGACCCGAAACTTGTCGGTATCTGGACCGAACTGGAGGCAAGAAAACAAGCCCAAGCATCACGCTAACAAACGCCGAGGGGGAAAACCTAGTGGCAAGCTTATGTTTCGGCAACCTGCAAAAAGAGGGTCAAAAGAGAGATGCAAGCCAGGAAAGGAAAACAACAGCACCGATCTCTGGGCCCAGCCAGCCAGACTATGCAAAGGTCGGTAAGCAAGTCTGCAAATGGTCGTTCAGGTTTGGCGGTAGGGAGAAACCATTTGAGTTTTTGGAGTAAGAGAGGTGGTCCGCCAACACATACGGCCTGGACCTAGACATGATTCCCGAGCGATGCCGGAATTACTCAAAGGGAGGGCATTGAAGTGGTTCATCTCCAATATCAAGCAGTGGAAAATGTTCCTACCGAGAGATTTCTTGACGAAACTAAAGGATCAGGTCAAGCAACGAAATCCGGGCTTCGGCGAGTCGTTCAAGGACTATATGACATGCAGACGCTGATGAGACCCCTCGGGTATTCCACAAAAGAAACACTCAACATCATAAAAGAAAAATGCACGCTGAACCTGCTAATCTCCCTTAGAGCCTACAAAATATCGGACTTGGACACGCTGATGATCCTAGCCGACGAATTTGAGGAACTGGAGGAGCGGGAGGAGAAAAAGTTATCTAGAACGAAATCGGCAGCCCCCGCGCTTGCTATTTTCAGAAGGTGCGAAGACACCTGCGACCACGAACCTCGAAGGAACGATCAATGGACACTACCACAGCAAGACCATCGGCGGCAGGCAACCAACACACCGTACGGAGCCCAGCGGGCACCACAACAGAACCAACAGAGGCAGCCAACAAGCACTTTGAGGAGGCCACCAAGCACAACACAAAGGTTACGGACACTGGGTGCGTGCATGTCGAGTAGACGTCAGGGGGAGTAGACGTCAGGAGCGTCGAATGTTGCCGACGGGAAATGGCCATCGATCTCAGCCGCAGAGAAGCGAGCGGGGGTTGCAAGATGCCACCTCTCCAAACTAACCGGCAAATTTCAAATTTCAATATAAATTTGTTATTCTCAAATTAAAATTCCATTCCAATATTTAAACAAATACATATTAATGTTTTAACAAAAAGATTTACGGCTGTCCCTCACACCTTTCCGCTACTTTATTATTAATAAAATAATATACTTTTTAGCTAGAACCAGTGGGAAAATTTAAAAATATCGTTTATGGGTAAGTTTGGTGAAATTGTAAAATTTTGAACAGATGCAAATACGCGGCTAACGCTTTTCGTCGGGACTTCGGGACTTAGCAGACTTCGCGCGTGAATTTCGATGAACGCCTGTAGCCGCGACCCAAAGAATAAGAAATTTAATCTTTGGCGGTGTTCGTGCAGAAGCTGTGTGGAATTTAAAAATTAAAAACGGAAGGGAAACCCCAAAAACGCCTAGAGTAGGTCAGTGCAGATGAAAAAGGACGCCTAATCCAAGCTGTTGCTTATTATTGTGGGATTTCACCGACATGAAGCAATGCCCCGACAGAGCACATCCGCAGAATAGTTGAAGTGTTGGAGGAGATCCACTAGAGAATTCCAGTGGGAAGGAACATGCCAAGTGGGATTTCGCTCGATCTCCGACGAGCTCTCCGTTGAGGAACCACCAGACTCCAACTCCACCTGGCAGCTATTGCGGAGATGGGACAGAAGGGACGGCTGGAGGAGCCATCACCAGTCATTACCAGGATCCTGGGCGACTTCATGCGGCACCAGGCGAAACAACCCCGTTCCTAATCCGGTTCCCACTTCCTCAAGGTCCCATATGCCCATTGGGACTCGGAGCTGGACTGCGGTGGCGCGGGAAAGATGGCGAAGCATCCGTGGGGTGAGAAGGAAGCTTTAAACTACTAATTTACATAAATAAAAACTTTCGTTGAACATTCCATTTATTTTTATTTTTACTTCTTTGTGCACCAGCAGACTTTTCTTTTTTAAATTGTTACAGTTAATTTCTTTTCCTTTTGTCAATAAACACAGCTGCTTGACAGTAAGAACATGGTACATGCATTGCGGGTGAACTTTGAACATATCGGTCACATTACAAGGAATACGATTTTTCGACTAGTGAAACTCTCAGCCGATCTGAGTACTAGGCTCAAAAGACAAGAGTTCAATAAAATATTTGCATTGTGGAAGAGGTCTGTGGGGAATTCATAAAAATCGTGGAATGTCTAAAATTGAGTTTAAGTAGCAAAGATAAAATCAAGTC